TTGGAGGACGCATGTATCGCTGCGTACGTCTTATGTACGCAAATTTTTTCCCTAAAGCGGTGATAAAACCTCCCCAAAAAGGTACATTTAAAAGCTCAAAAAAGGAATGTAGCAAAACAGCCTCCAAACCACCTCAAAACATGTGTTCTAAATCATTTCAAAACAGCCAACATGTATATTTCAAATAACCAAAAATGATTTCAGCAAGCTATAAGACATCTCCCCTGTGTTTATTGCAACAAGAAAGACCAAATTGGTAAACTTATAAAGCTCTCAAATGACATGTGGTTTGCGACAAATAAACCAAATCACTAAGCATATAAAGAAAACTTCCGCAATATACATCTTGCAATAAAATTTCCAGATCAACAAGTTATAATTCTCGGATAGCATGTGGCCAGAAAAGAAAGCAAATCAGCAAGTAAATACGTAAGGCTTCTCGAATGACAATCTTTCAATGTTCACAAAGTCACTTCCTTTCTATAGCCTCCAATTCTACCAATTACTAGCAAAAAGGAGAAATTCAAAGCTAAAAAACGAAGTGCATGTGTAAAAAAAATCCATAAATTGAATTGCATATGTGAGACTTCCATTTCTGACTTCTCCAATAAACACCAAGGGACAAATAAAATATAAAATTACAGGGTGCTTAGAGTTAAACCTTTCTTCTGAAGGAGGACTTTGAGTTACAACCGACTTGAGAGCCTCAGTAAAAATATCGAGCAACCGGCGACAATACCGAGCAACCGGCGAAACTCCGGCAACTGTGGGAGCCGGCGACCTTCGCGGCGAAGTAGAAAGAAGAAGCGGGGACGGGCTTCGGTGCAGAGACGGGATCGAGTGAGGGCTCCGGTGCAGAGGCGGGATCGAGGGGAGGAAGAGGCGAGGGTTTTGGGGCAGGAGGCGGGATCGAAAAGAGGTCTTCGGCGCAGGGAGGATAGGCGAGGGCTTCGGTGCAGAAAGGAGCGGGAGTCGAGCGGGGTAGATTCTTGAGCGGCGAGCTCAGCGAGTGCGCGAATTAGGGCCGGTTTGGGGCGATAATTTAGGTGCGGCTCAGCCTTAGTGCTTAGTGTATGGAAAGTGCCTTCGTGCGGGTTATCCTGTCCCAGTGCTTTGAATTATCTGAATCTTTAATAGTTTTGTGGACAAATTATTTCATACGGATCGGACACCGCACTCAAGCTGCTTGCATGCGGTATCCGATCCGGACCATAAATCACCTGATCTACGGTCCCGATATATTTCGGTGGGCCCTACTTTTTTTTTTTGCAAAAAAACGAAAATAATCATGACCGTAGATCACCGTGATCTACGGCCAGGATCGGACACCGCATGCAGAGATGCATGGGGTGTCTGCACGCAATAATTCCTCAGTTTTGTGACGCGGGGTGGGGGTTGTGTACCGCGTTCGACTCGTGATATTGTCCTAGTTGCCCATCTTCTCCCTCGCGCTCTCCCTCCCTGGATTCGTCCCCCGTAGAGAAGATCAGATAGTTTCCTTTCGATTCGTCCCCCGTCAATCGCAAGGTATGTTTTCCCTCACCATCAATTCGTAAGGAATGCTTCCTATAGAGCAATCGAACGTCGGTGGTCGTAAATTGTTCTTTGTAGATGCGCGAACGTCGTTTATTTGTATAGATCCAACCGTAAATCTTGTTTTTTTACTCGACCAAAAATTTCTATGCCATCATCGTCTTCGTTGTTTTTGAACTCGAACAATGCGAATTAATTTCTTTGCCCTAAAATTACTTTCATTTTTCTTTAGGCGAGAAGAAATTTTTGCAGCTTGGTATCATTTGTGAACAACTGTTTAGAATGAATTTTGTTTCGAATATTTCTGCTACATTCGATTTTTCCTAATTTTTGCATAGACAAGAATGTCTCTATACGCAGAGCAAAGAATAATTTGTAAGCATTTGTATCGAAGGAAGGAATATTTCTTATTTTTTTCAAGTTCATTAGCTGATGTTTATGGGCTGCAAATAATTCTTGTTTATAGGAAACATAGTTCTAAACTTGTTTCATGAAACTGCTACTATTAAGGATCATGTTTATGAGCTGCATATATACGTATTCATTGCAATCCCCATTGGTCGCAAATTCCTGTTTCGGTTTATGTTAAGAATGACAATGGATATGACATTGGGGAGGATTTGTGTGCCATAAATTTTGCATAAACTACTGAAACTGTAGAGGGAATTTACATGCCTAACAAATAATTGGGAATTTACATGCTAATTCATTATAATTGGGATTTTACATGCCCAAACATTCATGCATATCCAAATTTGTGGCAGCTCTGTTGGATTGTCATTTTTGTTTGGTTATTCTATTAGTAAAGTTTGGTTATTATGCTAGTGTCCAAATTTGTTTAGGAGAAATTATGTGTAGTTTGATCACAACAGTTTTGTAAATCTATTACTGCAGTTTCCTGCACCTTTTATCTGTTGGATTCTATTGTTGTTCATTTGCAACATTCATCCATTGGTGGCATTTATCTGTTCATTCGTAAATTTCATGTTGGAGATGAATATATGGCTCAAAATTGTTTTGAATGCATTTAAAGTGCTACAAATTTCATTTTGGTACAGCAATAGGATGCAGCCTCTAATATCTTCGTGAAAAGCAATTTCATTGATATGCAGTTTGATCAAAAAATTAGTGTGTATGGCAGCTGAATATATGGCAGCTGGAGTTGAATATATGGCTCGAAATTGTTTTGAATGCATTTAAAGTGCTACAAATTTCATTTTGGTACAACAATAGGATGCAAACTCTAATAGCTTCGTGAAAAGTAATTTTCTTTAATGCAGTTTGATAAAAAAAAATGAGTGTGTACGACAGTTGAATATATGGCAGCTGGAGATGAAAATGTATTGCAGATGAATATATGGTGTTATGTTATTGCGTTAAAAATTTCTATATGGCAACTGTCTCATCAGTTGTGCCTCGACATGTATGAGAAGTTGCATTTAGGAATGCACAATATGGTGGCTTCGGTAGAATTGGATTCCATGACATATATGTCGGCGCTTAAAAGGAGGAGGGGGGAAAGAGAGTTTTTAAATGTTTGGGGGTCGCCCGTAAGAAGCTGTCGGTCGCCGGAGTCGAAATCCCGTCGCCCGCTTCGGAAGGACTTTTTAATTTACATATATATATATATAATTTTAGAAAAATATGAAATCAAACTGACCTCATATTTT